CATGAACAGGGGAGGGGTGGAGAGAGAGGGAGACACAGACACAGAATCGGAAACAGGCTCCAGGCCCCGAGCCGTCAGCACAGAGCCCAACGCGGGGCTCGAACCCACGGACCGTGAGATCACGACCCGAGCCGAAGTCGGACGCTCAACCGGCTGAGCCACCCAGGTGCCCCCATGAGATTCTTTTTATATGACACTACATCCCTTGAACAACAGTCAGAATCGTGCCCTAAAATGCAACCTACCCCAAGATGTTATTAATTATTTACAACTTAGTACGAAGGGAGGATTGAAATAAAACTATTTTATAAAAAGAGGGGAGGGAGGATACAAGGACCCTAGCTACTTGGCCCTTGAAGTGTGTTCAGAAGCCCCACATCGCTGTATCTGTGTCACGAGATGCTTTGGGGATGCCGGGCGTGTGAGCAGAGGGCCGTGTCACCAAGGAGAAGAAAACGCTCTCCCCCATCCTGTCTGCCCAAGTCATACTCAGTAGCTCAGTTCAGATCCCTATTGTCAAGAATATCTTCCTCAGGCTGTATCAGTTCTCTCTCCTTCGAATTGCTATCATATATTAATTTCATACACCATTTCAGAAACTCAGTTGTAACTTCATTTTACGTAACTGCCCATAATTTTTTTTTAGAACTTAAAGGATTTCTTTTTTTTTTTAATTTTTTAAACATGTTTATTGATTTTTGAGAGAGAGAGAGAGAGAGACAGAAAGACAGAGCATGAACGGGAGAAGGGCAGAGAGAGAGGGAGACACAGAACCTGAAGCAGGCTCCAGGCTCTGAGCTGTCAAGCACAGAGCACGATGTGGGGCTCGAACCCACAAACTATATCATGACCTGAGCCAAAGCCGGCTACTTAACCGACTGAGCCACCTAGGCATCCCAGGATTTTTTTTTTTTTAAGTTTTATTTATTTATTTTGAGAGAGACAGAGACATTGAGAGTTGGAGAGGGGCAGAGAGAGAGGGAAGGAGGGAGAATCCCAACCAGGTCCAAACTGTCAGCACAGTGCTTGATGTGGGGCTCAAACTCATGAAACGTAAGATCATGACCTGAGCCAGAATCAGGATTGGACAGTCAACCGACAGCCACCCAGGTGCCCCTAGATTTTATTTTATTTTTTAACTAAAAAAAATTTTTTAATGTTTATTTATTTTTGAGAGAGACAGAGTGCAAGCAGGGGAGGGGCAGAGAGAGAGAGGGAAACACAGAATCCAAAGCAGGCACCTGGGTCTGAACTGTCAGCACAGAGCCCGAAGCCCGGCTGGAACCCAACAGACCGTGAGATCGTGACCTGAGCCGAAGTCTGACGCTTAACCGACTGAGCCACCCAGGCGCCCCCACTCTAGATTTTATTTTTAAGTGGTCTCTACTCACCTCCCCCCTCAACGTGGGGCTCAAACCTATAACCCCAAGATCAAGAGTCACACGCGCCACTGACAGAGCCAGCCGGGTGCCCCACGTAACATTTTTATTTCAAGCCCTTATTCCTCTTAGCCGAAGAAAATGTATTCTTTACGAGTTAAGGTAAATGGAGTCATTCAGTGTCAATTCAGACACGTCAGGTTTGTACTTAACCCAGGGTTTCTTTGGCACCCTCCGTTTATAACTTACTGCCTTATAACTTGTTGTTTTGAATAGCTCTTAAGTTTTTTATTGTTCGGATATTTGTAAGCCAGAGTTCACGTTTCTGGGGTTACAGAGCCCGCTAGGGGCGCTTTCACATCGCCACCTGTGCCTCCCATGATGCTCTGCGCGCCAGCCCACACTGGCGTACCGGGAGCATGCGTGGTAAGCTGGAGGGTGAGCCTTAGAATTCCAAGTGGGGCTAGGAGAGTAAGACCATCGTGTTTCAGCTTATATTTTAGCCCCAAACTGATGGTAACATAGTCAAAGGGACAAAACCCTGGCTTAGGAGTGTCAAGAGCCGAGTCCTTACTGTTACATCGTATGTCACTTTGGGTGAGGCCTCTCACCTCCCAGGACCCAAATCTCCCCATAAATAAAGTGGGGGAGCAGAGCAGGAATTGGATGAGGTGATACCAGGCGCTTTCTTCATCTGTATCCTGTCCCTGGAAACATACCTTCTGTTTGCAAGGTGAGTTTAAAAGTAATTTGTGGTGCAAGGAAATTTATTCACCTGCCAAAACACCCACTTCTTTATCTCATTTGCTGATGTGATTTTTTAACTTTATGAGTGAAAATTAATAATAAGAACTATATTGGGGCGCCTGGGTGACTCACTCGGTTAAGCGTCCAACTTTGGCTCAGGTCATGATCTCATGGTTTGTGGGTTCAAGCCCCACATCGGGCTCTGTGCTGACAGCTTGGAGCCTGGAGCCTGCTTCGGATTCTGTGTCTCCCTGTCTCTCTGCCCCGCCCCTGCTCACACTCTGTTTCTCTCTCTCTCAAAAATAAATAAACATCAAAATAAAATTTTTTAAATAGTAAGAACTATAGAATCAATATTGAGCAACATTATTGGTCTGTCTTAAGAAACGTCACTTCATTAAATATATTCATTATATGTCTCTTCCTAGTTTTTTTGTTTTCTCTAGACATAATGTCACGTGGAGATGATCTTCAGTCACAGGCTCTCACCAAGCCCGCTTTCAGTGAAACCCAAGCCTCTGCATTAGTGGAATCGGTATTTGGGTTAAAAGTTTCCAAGATCCAGCCACTTCCTAGCTACGATGACCAAAACTTTCACGTATGCGTTTCAAGAACCAAAGACACTACAGATGGCCCGACTGAGTATGTCCTCAAAATAAGCAACACTGAGTCGAGCAAAACTCCAGAGCTGATTGAAGTTCAGAGTCACATCATCATGTTTCTGAGAGCCGCTGGGTTCCCAACAGCCTCTGTGTGTCGCACTAAAGGAGACAACCTAACCTCTCTTGTGTCCACAGGTAAGAAATTACCATGTCACTCGTCATCACCTGTGCATGTACATTACTGCATTTTGGGTACAGGTGGGAATATCAAGAACAGGTTTATAGCTCCCAGCGTGGATGTGGTTATTTGTTCAGTGGCTGGGGGAGGCCACAGCATCACCCAAGTGCAGATCAGGGGCTCTGATTCCGAAGTGGTTAGAGCTGGGATCTGGTGTAACTCCTCCCCTTAGGAAGGTCTTGATGGATGAGGCACTAAGGACACGTGGAGTTAGGGGAAATTTTTTTTAACAGAAAAATAATGAAAGATTTTTATTCATCAGACCAGCTGTGTATCTTGGTGCTGTGGTGTGGAAGAAAGAACACAGGACTAGAAATCAGGGATTTTAGATCCCAGCTCTGTCATTTCTGTGTATGGTAACCTGGGACCCACTGCTTCATATTCCTAAGACTGGAGTCCTCGTCTGTGAGACTCTGGCCCATTTCCCTCTAATATTGCCAAAATTCTAAGCTGAACCTGTAGAGTTCTCTAAGCAGCAGCCTGAAATCAGCTCAGCCCTGGAATTTGTTAAAGGTTAAATCTTGACCATTATTTCTCTCTTATACGATCACCCATTCTGTCATAATCTGCATGGCTCCAAACAAGTGAGGCCCCATCCAGGCCCCGACACACAGGCTTTCCCCCCCGTTTGCCCCTGAAGAAGCCTCTGAACCTGTCATTTCTCTATATCACACTTTCCTCAATTATAAACTTATGAAAACGTGTTTTAGGTCCATTTGCCAAACCAGGCAATTTATGTTTAGTGCTAAGGCCGGCAAAGCTGGGACTGGAGCACTGCTGGTGTGTAAGTGCCTGGTTCCGGGGCTGTGAGGTTTGTCTGTTCTGTCTGCGCCGATCTGCTCAGTCCTGCTTCATAAAATCCTGCTGGCTGGTTTTAGGTTAGCTCATGCATTTCTCTTCTTCTGTGATTTCTGTTATTCTCTATGATAATAATTACAAAGCCAGAAAGTCCATTTTCTGGAGAATAATTGACAGGATATAACCTTTCATCCATCTAGATAGTGGCTCCGAAATCGCAAGCTACTTGGTGAGGCTCCTGACTTACCTCCCAGGAAGGCCTATAGCTGAGATTCCCATCAGCCCCCAGCTACTGTATGAAATTGGAAGGCTAGCTGGCAACTTGGATAAGACACTGGAGGTAAGATTTGCGGTTTTATCTTATTTATAAGAATTTTTTGTTTAGTTTTGATTTTTTTTTTTTTTTTAAGACAGAGAGCACAAGTGAGGGAGAGGCAGAGAGAGAGAGAGGGAGACACAGAATCTGAAGCAGGCTCCAGGCTCTGAGCTGTCAGCACAGGGCCCGACACAGGGCTCAAACTCATGAACTGTGAGATCATGACCTGAGCCAAAGTCGGATGCTTAACCAACTGAGCCACCCAGGCGCCCCTAGTTTTGATTTATTTTACTTAAAAGATAGACCCAGTGTCAGACTCCCTTTTTATGTGTGGTGCCTCCTAAGGTTTGTGATGAAGGAAATAGGGTCTTAGATGCATGAATTTTATGACAGTAAGGCTCCTTTCTGCCCAGGTCTGTGAAATCTCCCCTGACCTTTTCTCTTCCTGTGCTGTGCATAATTGACCACTTCCTTCTCTTGCTACTTCTGAACTTGGACATCCTTCTATCACTGTACTTATTGGGCTATGTTCCAGTCAGCTAGTGCTGTGTAACAAGTCATCCCCAAACTTACTGGCTTGAAACAATAATGACTTATTTGTCATGTTTCCATGGGTTGACTGAGTGGATCTCCTGCTCTATGTGGTATTGATTGGGGTCACTCATGCAGCTGTACTCAGCTGGGAGCTCAGTCCTCCATGTGGCCTCTGCTTGTCACATGGTGTCTCATCCTTCAGGATGGCTGAGCATCTTTACAACATGGCTGCTGGTTTCCGAGAAAGTGCTCCGAGGGGACAAATCCCAGTTCACAGACAGTTATTGAGCCTGTTATTGAGTTATTGAGACTGTTTGAATCATGCTAGCTAGTGTCTCATTGGCCAAAGCAAGTGACGTGTCTAATCCCAAAGTCAACTGGGAGAAGCTACATAGGGTGTGAATAAAGGAAGCATGATTCATAGGGGACATCAGAACAACAGTCTACCACATATGGTATCGTAATTATTGCATATTTGCACTTCCTGTTACGTATGGTTCATGAGAAGCAGTGAGCTTCTTTTTTTATTATTATTGTTAGAGAGAGAGAGGGAGAGCACACGTGAGCAGGGGGTGGGGCAGAGAGAGAGAAAAGAAGAGAGAGAATCCCAAGCAGGGTCCATGCTTAGTACGCAGCCCAACGCAGGGCTCTATCCTATGACGCTGGGATCATGACCTGAGCTGAAATCAGTCAGACACTCAACCAACTGAGCCACGCAG